AATCCATGCCTTCCCAATGCTTCCTGCATGTTTTTAGACTTTTCACAACCCAATAACGAATTCATTAAATTAGTGTTACCCAACGTGCATAATCTGGAGGAACTGGATACTGAATTAAAACATCAAATACCTTTAGCTTTAAATGAAAACTACATAAAAGCATTTTGGCATCACTTTGGCTATCACTTACAGCCAGTACGAATACTGCTAGAAAAGCTATTTTTGTGCAGATGTGGAATTCAATGGGAAAGACTGACTCGTGTAGCAACATCAATCAAAACGTCGGCTCCGCTGGCAGCTCTCGACAGTAAGGCAGGTTCAAAGGTCACAGGATAAAGAAAAAGCCAAGCTCTGGTTCAGCTCTAATATCTCCTTGCTAGAAGTCTTGCAAAGGTACCTACCCCCCTTCTGTACTAGGCGGCTTTCATTAATCTTCTTGCCATCTTTTTTAACTAGTCATGCAGAACCGCTCGATAGCGAGACATATAATGGGGAGGCCCTGTGCCTATTACCAGGTTAACACTCTGTTAAGCCCCAGTGCAACAATGGAATAAGAATTTAAAGGAAATCTTAAGCTGCGGGGTGCAAAACAGGCAATTAAATTACAAACTGAAGTTACCAATGTACTCCATGACCTACAGAACACCTTTGTTTAGACTACCTTAATATTAAGGATATTTTGACCTAGCAACTGAGATGTATCTGCTTTATTAAAACAACAAAAAAAGCAGAAAAACGATCACAGAGGACATTTCTCCAGTGTTTCAAAGTAAATGACCAAATAAATCTGATTTCTGCAGCTACTGTAAAATACAAGTGAATGGAAGAAGCCCATGTATTTGGATGACTGTGAGTCTGCCCAGCTGGTTAGCCTCAGTGCCACAGAAAGGCCTGCCCTGAGGAGTGCTAACCCCTCCAGGCACCAGCACTGGCTCAGTGGGCCCATGGGGCAGATGCCGAGGCAGCCAGTAGCCCCAGCTCAAGGAAGGGATGGCCATGACACATCCATCACAACCACGCTTGGTCAACAGTGCAGTCAGTGACACTGAAGTTTCTCCCTTGTCCAGGTAATGTAAGAGACATTAACAGAATCAGATTTCCTTTAAATTACACTATTGCAAAGGGACATAATTGTATTAAACATACTATGTTACTTCCTTAAGACTTTATATTATGTACACTTAATTGAGATACAAAGCTCTTTTCAGCTATAAAAATGACAAGTACTTTATTAAGGCTTAAATCTTATTTCTCAATGATAGGATGCTTCCTTTCAAGATTCAAAACATTCAGAATCTCCTGTGATAATCAGACCGAACCTGATTTAAACAAGCCAATGTGGTCAGGTTCTAATGGCATTTGATTGAGCCAGCAGGGCCATTACCTCTTCCCTCTGTCTAAATTCAGGGAGTCTGATTTAATTTACAAATAAAGATTCAAATGCTGATCCAGGGCTACTACAAGGGCAAACACGAATCATCCACCATCCCTGCCTACAATACCCATCCTTGTGGCAAATGAGATGCCACAGCTTTCCATTTTCATTTTCTGTTTTTGCTGGACGCAGCTCTAAGTTCTGTGAACTCACAGCACAGGAAAGCTTCAGCCCTGTCCAGAATGACTTGGAGTCTGTCCATAAACATTCACAACACGTCATCTTGGAAGTTGTTGAGTCCTTTAACACTCACACAAGTGCCACTAAAGCTTCGCTGCATGAACCTGTCTGTTCAGAGAAAACTAACAGAAAATAAGAGGCTCTTTACTACATTGATATACAATTTCTGGCTTTCCATTTCTGCAGAAAAGTACCAGCAAAACCTCTGAAATCTCTTTAACTCGCAGAAAGTAAGAGCTAATCGAATATTAAACTGTATTAACTACCATGTTCAGAGGAACGACAGTTGCAGAAACCTCCAGCTATACTGACCACAGGCACCAAACTCCACTCCCAGCACCCCGTGCCCTTACCGAACTGTAAGGTCACGTCTGGGGGCTCCTGCAAACCCTTCAACCTCTCTTTGGAATTACAGAAGTCAGTGTAGCAGAGCAGCACTCAGCTTTATTATAACCCCAGCTGCCAACGTCTAAGGGAGGCAGGCAGCTTAATAAAACACCCTCGGTGTTCTCACCTGGTGTAACTGTACAAGCACTGCTACATGTGCAGAACGCTTCTGAAAGACGAGATGGAGCATGTTTGTGTTACAAGAGATAAAAACATGAAAACAAAATATACTGCAGAACTCGAAGACCTTATCTTTATCCAGCCTCTCTTTCTTTGCAATAGTTCATTCAAGGAAGATCTGGGAATAATTTTTGATGTAAACTCTGCTACAAACATATATCACCATGCTGATAAAAATCACAGACAAAACTTGTGAAATACAGTGAGTTTCATTTCTTTATGCTACTAAAATAACTTTTTTCCATTTAAAATTCAAGAGATACTGATCTGCTGTTAAGAGTTCCCCAAAATGTATCATTCTGAGATGTCACACTAGAAGTCTCTTCTACTGGCCTAAAATAATGACTTTTGGAACATCTTTAGTGAATCAGGAAGAGGTGAGCAGATTTCAGGAGGAATTATCTTCTCCTTTGGAAATATGCTGAATGCGTCTTTAATAGGAAAAATTTATCATGGCCACAAAAATAAATAAATAAATAAATAAATAAAACCTCTCAGTATTGTAAGGTTGCCTTTGTTGTAACCTCTCAGCATCCCCTCCAAAATGACCACAACTCTTCACTCAATGGTCTCCACGAGATGGTACTGCCCTTTCACAACTGGACTCTATTTGGGGAGTTGGAATTCTGTCCCATATTTTTCCTGCAGCAGCAGGTGCTGCTCTCCTGGGGCAGGAGAGCTCCATCCCTGCAGGATGCAGTTCTGGAAGTCTTCAGGGGCAGCTTGAAGGTCTCAGACTGTCGTGTTGACAGGAGTGTGAGCTAGAAACTGTGGGTTTCAAGGCTGGCTTTTCAGATAGAGCCCATTTTGTGGGCGCAGTTTTACCACCACAAACCCAGAGGTGTTAATATATTTACAAGTACAATAGTGCACCTTGAACTATAAAGGGAACTGTCACACAGTTTGGACTGCCTGGTCATTAGGGAAGTCTTTCATTGGGATCATGCCTTCCCAAGGACCATGAAATCTTGCTGGAAAGACAGAAGAAGGAAGACAATGACTGGACTAAGATCATGAAAGTAGGAAGGGGTAATGAAGGGAAGAAGGATATAGTTCAATAATTGCTGATAAAATCTGTGGCAGCCATAAATTTACTCTTCAAAGAGAATTCAACAGATCATTACCTCTGTAAATATGTATCACATAATTCTTTCTCTCTGTCATCTTGCAGATAAGTACTTAATACTTAGCATACCTACCCTGCAAAAGCACAAGTGTAATAAAATCCATCTGAGCTTTTGAACTGCAGTTACTTTTTGACAGTAGATTGTTACACTTTGGCACCCCCAGGAATCATTGCCCAGTTCCCCCAGGGCCTATCTTGTGCTTTTTAAAACAAGTTTTATAGATACAGGCTCATTACTCCACTGATAAAACAAGCACAAGCACTTGGCTTTTGAAGTCATACTCTAAACACAGCAAACTCTGACCTCTTGTTGATGACTCGGATGAACTGGGACGTCTAGCCTGTCCTCCAGCCAGCTCAGCTATCACTGCTGGCCAAGCACTGAACTCTTAGAGTGAATGGTACATTGCAATTCTAGTGACCTACAGCCAGTGATGAAGCAAATTTAGACTGTGCTGATACTTACTGCATGTCTGAGATCCTCAGCTGCACCCAAAAAATTGTTCAAAACTAGCCTGGATGTTCAGAAATCTAAAATATTGCAGTTATGTGGAAGCATATATTTGACTACCATCCTCTGGGGCTAGAGACCTGCTAGGCAAAGGCAGTGATTCCTTGGTATACCACTGTTAGCAGCTACTGACAGTGGGCAAGAAACACTCCTGATGATGCCATTAGCTATAAGCAGCATTAAAAGGACACTCATAAAATGTGTATTTGTTTATGTTGTGTTCTCTGTAACAGAAGTGAGTCAGATTAAAAACATCCTATAATGAATAAAATACACCTATAGAAAGAAAAGGGCATGGTCGCAATAATTCTTTGGGCATCCAGCACATACAGGGAGGGAGAGAAGAGAGAACATAAATAAAAAGGACTACTCACTTGGGCTTTTTTCTTCCGCAAGGTCACAGGCACAGAGGAGTTCAGAATCGATTGAAATGGGTTTCTGCTTAATCCAAAACTTAGTGCTGGCCTTCTGATTAGTAACAGGGTCTATCTCTACCTTGTCTCCAGAAATACCTAAGATGAGAAAGAATAGAGAGCCACAACAGTGATCTGTTTAAGCGATTTCATATCGGCCGTTTGACACACTTTATAAATCTTAAATGGGATGAAAGTATATTGCCCTTTTGGGCTTTTTGAAAGCACAGGAGCTTTTGAAACCAAAAGCAAATGGTTATCAAACTGCATTAATAATTTGCATTTTATTCTCCTGCATAAGCATACCAACAAGAAAGAAATATCACAGAAAAAATCCTTCTCAACACATACAGAGCTCTTCTGGAAGCACTGGCTACATGAGCTGCAAGATTTATAAAAAGATACTGCAAGTTTTTCAGTCACCACTATTATATGTAATAGACACTATCACACACATCCCTGTTCCATCTCCTACACAGAACGTAACACTACATCCTCTACATGAGAGGACAACACCCATTTGCAGCCTTACAGAAACGCTCTTTGTGCTACCCAGATAGTTCTAAACAAAGACATCCAGTCCCAGAGACCCTGTGGTTCTTACACTGCTGGCATTTTAAAGCCAGCTCTAATTAGGCTGCTCTGGAAGCAAGCTGAGGATTTGTGTAGCTCCTGGCACGGGCACCGGGCCCGGCTTCCCAACACGGGCTTCCCCGCATGGCTGGAGCTTCGCTAGCGCTGCGTGCAGGCTGACCTGGATACGGCAGATCCTACCACAGACCTTCTGTGAGCCAGAGCAGAAAATGCCTCTACCATCCCTCCACACGTTAGTCCCAGTGTTGTGCAAGAACAGCCTTTCCAGCAGGATGTGGCCAGGGCTGGCTGAGGGCTAACAGCGTGCTGGAACCGTCCTGGGACACTCACTGTAATTTATGGTGGTCTTTCTCGCAGTATTGCACAGCAAAAGCCCTGCTATGCCACGCTGATGAACAGAAGCTCATTGTTCAGTAGCTGTTGACACAACTGAACAAACTTCCCAGTGTGCTTTTTACATCAGAATGTGTGGAGCCTTAAAAATAATTACATTTCTTCAGTCATGAGTTATAGGTGAAGCTCATGAGAAAGCGACAAAAGGAAGCAGGAAAAAGAAGTATTTAAATATCATTTAACTCCTGCATCTCCCGGAAAACAGCAGAGAGAACCTTTTGCCTCTTGAGGGTTTCGGCTACGATGCTTTTGTATTACACTTGGCTCGTCTGAAGCCCAGGAAAACCCAAAAGAGCTGATGATAAGACTTTTAAGAGGTGTGACAAAATCAAAATTAAAGTGTCACACACGTAATGACTCTCCCAAACCCTTCAAAATTAACTCAGTATTTCTTTAAGTCTGCTCATAGCTGCAGAATTTGCAAACCACGTTGGTTTGCATTTTATGCAGCTCTAAAATCACAGCACACAAGGCAGCAAGGAGCAGACTCCTACAGTGGGCTTCCCGCTGCAGTCCTTGCCACTCAAACACGCTTACCTTCATTTTAACCCCAGCTGGGATGATGGGTTATAGGAATACCACCAGCCTCCAACCCCCTTTATTAATCCAGGAATGTGCTTTGTCATTAAACATACGTCACATCAGAGTGATCACATTTCAATTAAGCATTGTATCAAGAGTCCAATTAAGGACTGCTAGAACTGGGTAATTTGAGCGGGCTGATGCTGTATCTGGAGCCCATTTTGTTTTGTAATTTAATTTTGGACAGATTACTTAATACTGGCCTTGTTATTTCACTGTAATAGTTAATTATTCAAAATGGCATTTTCTGTAGTTTAAAGAAAATATGCGAAGTTGAATGTCCAAGTTCTTATTTTCTCACTGAAAAAAGTCAAGGCAAGTTCTAAAAATAAAGGTGCAAATTCTTTGTGTGTGAGGGTTGATCCCCATCCCTTCCTCTGAAAGCATCACCCCTGAAAAGAACCTTAAAAATGTCTCACTGTATGGTCCTGTAACTTCAGAATTCACAGTCAGTCAATACTGTTAATGCACCTTGTTAATTTGATGGGATTTGTCAGGTAACTCCACTGGAAAATTATATAAAACTGTTCCAGATGAACAGATGATAGTGACATGAATTAAAGTGATAGAACAATAGTGGAATATAAACCAGAAATGACACCCAAAGTGGCTGTTGATTTATTGCCATCCTGAGTTTGGTTCTGGGCTTCCATGTATATTAGTGCTACAAATCTGGGTCCATTTAGCAGAGAGATGCTCATACATACATCACCAGCTCCTGCTCCAAGCCAAGGTCACTCCCCATTGCATCAATCTTTTCAGCAGAGGCTACTTCACCAAGCATGGATTTTGTAACCATCTCAGATGTAACAGACTTCCTCCTCTTTCATCTTTTTTTTATCATGTAAAATACACTTTAACTTCTATTATTTTTATCTGCAAATTGTCGCTGTATACTTCATCCATTATTTCTGTATCTCGACATCACTGGCTTAAGCTCACACACATCCAAAGAGCACATTGACAAAGAATGTTGTCTTTTTTGTGTTATTGTTCTCACAATCTGTATGTGTTGAAACCTAAAATCAAAACAGTATTATGTATGTGGCTTCTGCAGTCTCTGTATCGTGGCACAAATTAGTCATACTCAAAAAGCAAATAAAAATGCTTCTTCCATTATTTTTTTAATTCATTCATTTTATCAAATGAAATATTGTCTATGTATTAGTCCAGTAACACTGTTCTATTCTTGCTTCCTTTGTCGGGGTCTGCAACTGCCCCCCCTTTTCTGATATACTTGCCAGCAGTCATTTTCTGAGACAATATGCTTCTTTTAGTTTTGCTAATGTGATACACAAGCGTGTTTTATGCCTTCACAACGTGATAGAACCTTTGTAAAAATGTTGAGACTGCTACTGTATGTGCATTACACTGTAATATGAGCTAAAACATAAAACCCCAGACCTTAAACTGCTACAGCTAAAGCTTTCCACTGTAATAAAACCATCAGTCAAAAGGTGGTCATTCCTCCCGTGGTCGTTTACGTATAGCTTTTTACTATAGAAGAACTATGTACAGTGTACAGAAGATGGAGCTTACTCCTATTTTAGGTAAACCTTGCCTCAAATTCAGTGATCAGGCCTCAAAACAGCTAAAATATTTCAAAAAGCACCAGTTTGCAAACACTAATACACAAACACAGCTCACACTATTGCTGCCTTTGTGCAACAGAAATAAAACCCAACACAGAACCTACTCAAGTTCAATGACATGTGCGTGTCTTACAATGTCAGAGCAAACTGCAGGGAGTAGAGATGAGCTATGCTGAGATTTTCTCCACCACTTCTGCATTCTGTCACACGCAAACATCCTTCTGCATGAAGCCTGCGACACTGGGACTCACCCCCAAAACCACACAGGTATTTCGGATTGTACGGAGCAAAAGATGAACACATTAACACTCAGCAGCCCTAACCCAAGTAGCGCCTCAGTGCTTATTTTACCAGCGTTGCTCTTTCAATAGCTTTAAAAATTTCAGAGGAAACCCCAGTACCATACACTTATTTTGACTATATTCAAAGGTTTGCATTCTGTACATTCATTTGCCCAAACCTGGCATACCCCACTGGGGTCTTCTTTGATTTTACAAAATAATGAGATTACAAAAATCATGCTGTCAGTGCACTGCCATCAAAAATATACAAGCTCACAGATTATTATAAAAGAGAAATTTTATGGTCCGTACACTACTGGACAGGGTCAGCTCCTTCCCTGCTGCACAAGTTAAGCCATTTGTTTCATTTAACAGCTATTCTCCCTTAACCATTTATCTTTAGTGATCTGTCATGACCTTTTCAAGCTCTCATTTCTGACACTTTCCAGATACAGTGAGTCAAACTTCACTGGAAGCAAACTATCACACCCAGAGAGTTTGCTCAAAAGCAGAAAACATGCCCAGCGCTGTCCTGCTTCAGCACCAGCATATAAATCCTTCCTTGACAAGACAGTTCAAAATAAACCAAGAAAGCCTCTTCTGTAAGAATCTTAGACATACACTTTTACACATGCTTAAGGATGGAAGAATAAAGAGACTGCACTGACAATAATACAGGACCTCGTACCCTTTACATTTAACAATTCCACTGAATTCTACAGAATAAATATATTTTGTAAACATTATGGCACTTAGTATTTTACTGCTGAATCATTTCTTTATGGAAGGTATTTGCAGGAATGTCACAGGTCACCTACCAATGCATCATTAATCAAATTTTCACAATTTAAACACGAAGATAAAAAGCCATTCAATCATTTTAAAACAGTAATGGAGCTTTTATAATTCAAGATTCTGTCATCCCTTGGCCTTTGGGTTTTCAAAAGCATTCAGAAAGCTAATAAGGACAATATAAAACCTTTAGAAAATGCTAGTTTTATTTTGTGGCACCTCAAATTTCCACTTGGTCATTAAAATCTCTCAGTCTCAGAAAAGGAAAAACCAAATCATTCCTAATTTTGCATAGCCTCATTTAAAAATAACAAAACAGTTGGCAAGAAGCTTTCCATTAGGAAGCCTAGATTAAAAAAACAGAGATGAGGTCATTAAATAATGGCCTTCTTTCAGAAGAAACATGTGCTGCCTGATTGTGGATAATAAAAATACTGAAGTATTTTCAACTGAAAGCAGTTTTTTTTTAACTGCTGAGATGCTAGCAGCACTTTTGAGTGATGTGCTCCATGATAAAATGGACCAACATGATAATGATTGCTTTAAAAACATCTGAGATGGACAGACAGCTATTAGAGATGGCCAAAGGTTTGAACTGTTCCATTTTCCTAAGCGTTATAGTATGGATTGATTTACCTAACTGAACATCAGTGGTGAATCGAAGCCTATGGATCATGCTGACTTTGAAGGACTTGTAATGGTGGCTACTGAGCATGTCCTGAACTGTAGCTATATCGATCTGAGGGTCCTCCTCTGAGACCTCTTCTCCTCTTGAACCTGCAAAACAAGCCAACAATAATGAACAAGAGGTTTAAAATACAGCACAAGATTCAGCTGGTGTGTTTGCATGGCTGCGATGTCTGCAGCTGCAGACGGCGTTTTAAGAAAGAACACAATGCTCAAGTCCATGTCTGGGAGGAGGAAATTCTCACCCTCCATCCAAAGACAAAATCACCAATTCCTTAAGGATATGAGAATGCACATTTGCATCCCACATGAGGAGCAGTGCAGCATCCCAGTGGTAGATTCTTTGGAGGCAAGAGACACCCCTGCACTGCAGGTATCCCAGGGGCCAACCTGGTGGGATCCCCACCAGGACACCCACAGCCTGTCACCCCAAGAAGGAGCCACCCTCCACATACGCACTAGCACAGGTCTCCCATGTTTCAGCATCCCCCCATGTGGGATGTGACTCTGGCAACACCTCGGGCACTCTGATCTCAGCCCACTGCCAACGAAGCCACGCTTTATTTACTGATTAGTATTCTCATTACTACTGCAGGTACTGGCTTTATAAAAGGTAACATCTCATTAAGCCAAAATGCCAATTACTGAAAAAATATAACACACTTTAAAGATTTTTTACATTTTATGATGTTGGATTAACACCAATTTAAACATTACTATAATGCGATATATAATTTTGCACAGAGTAATTTCTATGCCAGCTGCTAATAAAGCATCTCAGCTCTAAATGATCATTCAAATGCTGTTAGATAAAGTGGTATAAATATGTTTGAAAACTGATTTAGCTTCTTACAGAAGATACTGAAGAATGACACGTTTTGTTTAATATCCCAGCTAATGTAGTCCTAAAAGCTGAATCAACCGCCAGTTCAGAGTACTAAATTTGCTGCAGGAGATTAATGAAAACTTTATATTTTGTTGAAATTTTAATAATGGGAAGATGAGATGATGGAATTTTAGTACAGGTCTTAAAGATCCAGCAAAGCAGGCTAAGAACTTGTCAGATTTTTTGGTATTAATTTTGTTCTTGCACAGTTGGAGCAGCCTCAACACTTAACGCTTCCCACACTGACCTTTCCCTCTGGGGATGTACATTCCCATCCTCATGTCAGCTCACAGGGAAGCTGCAGTGGGATTCCATGTTTGGGCCCAACAACAAGGGGATGGTTTGCCAGGAAAGGCCATGGCTCTCAGAGGAAGAAAACCCTGGCACTTATCTCAGACACATACTGCTGATGCAGGAGCAGGTGCCCTTTGAACAGGGTAATTCAGAGCTGCAGAAGTACATGCTGTTTGCCTCAGCAAGGGAAATTATCGTGGTGGTGGCATTAAGCAGCACAAATGTAGGCAAGAGGGAAGAAAAACCCCACCTGAGCATGGGTGTTTTTCCTGCTGGGTGTACGTGTTCCCTTTTCTATCTGCTAATTCAGTAACAAACATAACTGCTTATGATAAATCTCTTTCATGTCTGTATCAAAGTAAGCTGGCATTTGCTGTTAAATGAGTCAAAGCACATGTTGGCAGCACAAAGGAGGAGATTCCCATTCCTCAAGCACTAGTCACATAAGCTTTTCACCCTGCCCACAGAAGAGCGAGTGAGCGTGATGCCCACTCCTCACCACACGCACCGCAGCCTCCTGACACAAAACCAGGACCTTCATTCGGGGAAGGGGACAGCAAAGGGTTAAGCTACAAATTGGGTTGTGCCATTCGACTTGAAAGAACTCCAAAAATCAAATGAAACAGTCTACATGTGAATTTATGCAGAGCCATCTTAACATTGCAACCACTCTACGCTCCAGAATGACAAGATAAATTGTAATGGCTCCTTCAGAGACATTACAATGTATTTTGTCAAAGACCCCTGTGTTAATGTCTCTATACTATGGATTATCATAATGTATCATGTCAAACCCTCACGCTGCAGTACTTCAAAGATACACTGAGATATGTCAAACTTTTTGGTGCACTTAAAAGCATCTTGAAACACTGTGGCATGGCCGTGCCAGGAAGCAAAGCAGGAGGATGGCAATGGCACCGCTGCTCTGCAGTTGAGAGCGAACTGGGACCCTCTTCCACTGTGGAAACAGCTCCTAGTGCATGGCTGTGTTGCAGCAGTGGGTGACAAGACCCTCACCTTGGTGCAATGGGCAGCGTTCCACATAGCAGGGATCTAAGGACAGTGTTACATGTGAAGGAGCGTTAGCACCAACAGACAAAATGAACCCGTGACTGTAAGAAATTCAGAAGTAACACAAAGAATGGCAGCATCTTAGCCTCGCTCCTGTACCTCCTGTGAAATGTTCTTAAAGCACTTCACAAGATCCAGACTCCCTGGACGCTCTGCAGGTACCGCTGCCCCTGTGCTCCCAGCCTGGCCTCGCACCACCCTTCCTTACCATCCACACCAAATACTATCAGAGCAGGGACGCTGTGTGCCAGCTTTACATGGCTATTATGAACCTGAGTCTGTCTAAAGATTTTACATACCCAAATTAAAAGTATTACAAAGAAAATTACCAGCCTGACAGATCACATCCAGGGGGGAAAACTGCTGCTGCAACTAAAATTGTGAGCACCTTTGTCAGTGTCTCAACAGCAGGAGCATCAACTGCTGCAGCCGGAGCAGCTGAACAGTGGGATTTTGCTCTGGAAGCCTTTCAGATCCTCAGCATCTCCGTAACCTCTGCCGACATTGCTTTATGGAGCTTTGTGAATGGATTCAGGTTTACAGAATTTCTACAGTTGCTGCTCTTGGGAGAGCAGCCAGGAACTCCACCATCAAAACAGATCATCTGTCTAAAGATGGCAAGACATGCGGACCCCTGAGGGTGCATTGGATAATAGCAGTAATATCAGTAACAACAGAGAGAAATGCCCTGCAGGGAAAAACCTGACTGCAGAACTTGGCATATTGCTCTTACCCCGCAGCTCAGCGAGGATGTCTGTGAGACTGCCGGTGCTCAGCAGCCGAGGGAAGAGCCATCTCCACCAGCTGATTGGGGGAAAAAGCATAAAAATATTTTCCACATGCAAGCAGCTGTGAATAAACCTGTCAAATATTTACAGGCCTGTCAGGGTATTTGTAATGGAGATCACAGTGTGGCTTTTGAATGTAAAAGCTTCTGCTTGGGAAGACAATCAAGTAAAGTGGATGCTCCAGGTCTATTATTTAGCCCAAGAGCCGACCCAGCAATTGGGTTCTGCTGGCAGAGACTGCTCCGCCCTGGGAGGAACAGATTCCTATTCTAGAAACAAACTCTGTCACATAATGACACGGAGCTTCAGTTTGGAGCGACCTCTGTATTCTTCTTTATAGTCTACCTAATTGATTTACTTTGTGAAAGAAAAAGGGAAAAAAGCTGGAGTCAGGTGTGGGATAAACAAGGCACACAATAAGAACCTGCACAAAGTGCAAAGCACAGCTACAAGGGAAGCATTTCTCTTAGCCCAGGATAATTTCCCTTAGCCCCGTATAGGGGGTTAATTACTGAAGCAGTAGGGTAGGAAAAATCAAAGAATGGCTGAGAGGAAGCCTGTGCTGTTTCCCCACCATTCCCAAGCCAGGGACACAGCTACATGTGGCACATCTAAACAAGGAGTCTCGGGACTTTCCAGCATCCTGACACTGCCACATCTGGTGCCAATCCTTCCACCCTACCTTTGGAATGCCTGCGTGGGGGCAGAATGAGGTTGGTGCTTGCAGCGACACAGGGCTCAGGCTAAAACCAAAGTCACCATGTGAGAACTTACGGTGCTGGCTGGAGGGAGATCCCATATAGAAATGTATATCCCATATAGAAATGTATGCATTCCATGCAGCTACATGTCTTTTTTCTTTATCCGTCTGATTCTTACCAACTCCCCCGTCTCAGTGCTCACTGGAGGAACGACTTCCCAGCCAGTCGGACTGCTCTCCATCCCTGCTCCGACTGCTTGTGCCGCAAAAGCATACGAAACATTAAACCCCAGCCTCCTACTTTATAAAAACCAAACAATTAAAAAAACCCAGCCACCACAACCCCAAAACAAAACAGAAAAAACACGGAGTGGTGTTTTCTGCCCAGAGAAGCTGAATAAAAAGGAAAAATGGTATCAAGAGCTACTCTTTTAAGATAGCCACTGTGGTGAAGCACTATGGTGTTTTAGAAGCCACAGTCATGGCACTAATTTGCAGTCTCTAGATTCGATGGTCACCCAGAAAACCAACATATTTCCCAGTCTGGAAACAACAGCTGAAGATCTTTTCTTTTTTTAAACCAGGTTCAGTACAGAGAGAGTATTTTTTCTCAAGTACTTGAACTACTGTGAAATACAGTTATATTTGTATCTCAGTCCAATCTCCTCATAGAAAATCCTGATTTTCAAACGAGACAAACAAAATGAAACAACAGGCACCAGAAGCACAAGTCTGAAAATAAGTTAGAAGCTAAACCAAGGAGCCTTATGCAAAAAGGTCTCCTGTCAGCACTAGAGGACATATAAAAATGACACATTAGTAATATTGGAATATTGAAATGCCATATGTAGCCTATTCAAGAGCAAGTGAACCTGTATATCCTCGATAAAACAACAAAATATAAAGTTAACTGCATTGCAAAAATGTCCCTTATTACTTTAATGTACTAGTATATTGCTTAATGAAAGTTCTTAATTGTAATACAATTAATTACATACACAGAGTCCCCAATTACATTTTCCAATAAGACACTGGCTTTGGTACAGGTCTAAAGGCACTAAACCAATTTTAATATATTAAGACCAATTTCCCTTGAATACTAATTACTATCTAATGATAAAATGAGAAAGAAGAACTTTCCAGAAGTAAGATAGTAAGAATAAAACTAAATTAGCCATGAACAGTTTGCTACTACACATAAAAGCATTTCACATTACGAAGTGCAGGCTTTTAGTCCAAAGATAAATCTTCATGCGAGTTAAAAAGTTCTGCTTACTGGAAACAGTTTATTACTTTGAATGCTATTAGTAAAACTTGGCTAGATAAGGGATTTTTCTCCGTATGTATTTCTTAATAATGGAAAGTTTTCTGTTTCATTTAATACCCTGAAATATAAACTTTGTATTTGCCCAAAGGAAACTGGCAACTATTTTACTAGCAGATGTTTGGCATCACACATATATATACGTTTATAAATGAATATGAGACTACAAAGAGTACATTTACAAATAATAGCTGTTGTAACAGAGCTTTTCCTGACTGGCATATCTCAGCTAGAAGTATTTCAAATAAAAACAAAATGCACAAAATGAGTATTTCATTTTGATGTTAGGATTTTCAAGCTTTATTTTATTAATAGTGCACAACTGTCAATATTTCTATTCTAATGCCGTGCCAAAAGATAGCTCCTTAAGCACTGCAAAATCCAATTTCTGATTGTGTACTGGAGGAACCAGGCTATGTACAGCACATGAATTATGACTGATCTTATATACTGTATTGTCCTTGAACATCTATATGTGCAGAGAGTTAACTGCATGGGTGTTTCACATATGTCCCTAAGCAGGGACAATAGAAGATCGCTCAAAATTCACCCATATTTTGGGAAAGAAACTATAAACAGAAGAATTCTCCTGCATTCCTTATCAATTCAGAAAACAGTAACAGCGCAGCAGAAAACAGACAGAATTCATGTAAGCATTTATTATTTTGCCTAGATTACTGTCAGCCTTGAACAAACTAAAACAGTGACTTGCTCTTGAACTCTACAGAGTCAAAGTGCTTGTTTTGCCTTCGCATTTCCATGTTTCAGGCACTGGCTGACAAACACAAGACCCATGAACAGGACAAAAAGCCACCCCCTACCAGTGTGATGCTATTGCCTTTCAGGGGAGGGGAAAAGTGTTCCCTTCACATTATGACCGACAATTATTTTGAGGCAAGGCCTCTGAGGCTCTGCTGGAGCTTTTGCTACTGATGCAGAATAGACCAATGCCTCCTCCTAAAACACTTCGAAACTTACAACAGATTTCCTATTAAAGTAACAGCGCAGCCTGAGCCTAGTCACTTATGAGAGCTAAGAGCATAAGCAGATAAGAGTTACAAGCCACAGATGATGAAAATATGTTAAAAATGTAGTATATACACTTTTAACTGAAGTGCCTGGATAAAAAAATTGCTTTTTAAAAATCAAAATGTGCAAAACCAATGGAAGTATGACCTGTGTGCATCTTACTATGGATTAAAAATCAACACAAAAATCATAGGTGGGATGCAGGTGTTAGGGAATCTTGGCTTGTGGAAGACTGCAATTTGACTAGTGAGGTTAAAATTGCTCCATTTCCTCATGCACAGCACCCCTGCCACCTTCTGCCTCATTCTCTCCTACAGTTTCTTAGAACCATTTTATGAAGAAATGAACCAGGAGCATCAGGAATACTTTGGGAGCAAGTCCCACTCTATGGAGAACGGCAGCCAAAACTGTGAGTGCTTAATCCAAGCTCTAGCACTGATGTCCAGCTGGAATGCTTGTGGCAGCCGAGTTTCACCTCTGCTAGTCCTTAAATGGGAGTAGAGTCTACTGCTTGCCATCGGAATTAGGAGGTACTTTGGGGATGCTTTGCTGTCATACTAAGATAAAATATGAAACGCTGTAGCCAAAAAGCATAAATGGAATGGCCTAATCTTTGTAAAGAAAGGAAAAACTCTTCTACTACTTCAAAACAGGCTTTTACTATGCCTGCTTGCAGCAAACACTTGGAGCATGGTCCTGGCTGAGAGCATGAGCACTACTGGTTTCCTCATTAGTACAATCAACATTTTTACAGCTGAATTAAAATGGAATAAAAAACCCCAACCCCACAAGTGAGAGCATGACTGTTGGAAAGAATGAGGGACAGACCAAAATGCTATGGAGGACAAACACAAATCAAAGTTAAAGGTTTGGGTTTTTAAAGTTTCATACAGTTCCTTGTAAAGAAACAAATCAGGAAATAATATTAGGATCATTAAAACAGTAATAGAATAAAAATATTTGAGCATAGCTGGGGAGAAGATTATTTGCCTCACACTTAAAAGATCATCAAACTGCTCTAGTTATATCTGCATGGTTAATTTCTTTAAATTCTATTAGAAAATGAAAAAATCTGTGTCTCTAACAGCCATATCACCATGGCAAAATACACTGCAGAATGGTCACTTTATTCACTGAGCAATGCCTGCAACAGAAAGTGTTTCATATTTCCAGTGTTTTTCGGGTTGGTCATAACTTTACAGAGCAGAATTTAACAGAGAACGATTAATCATGAAGTGATAAACAAGATGCAGACTATTTACTAGAAGGTATGAAATCCATCATTTCCCTCTGGAATATTGTTTTGGCACAACTGAGAAGTGCCTCAGGAAAGAGAGTCTCGTCAAAACTTACTTGCCCAGACAGTACAGCGTGTATTCCAAAATACATAACTTATGTGAGTTTAAGCAATTTACAAGAGCAAAAGTGAAAAGGGGAAACATACTGTTCTCCCGGACAAGGCAGAATTCCAAAGTGCTCTGGCTCTCCAAGGTACAGTCTAAATCTACTGGGACATTAGGTTCACTCTGCTTCTCCAGCCGATACTGAGGACCTGAAACATAAAGTAACTTGTAAAATCATCTGTTTTCTAACAAAGTGATGGCTTATCACGTTCAACTAACATGAGGTTACTTGTAGCCTAGAGTAAGGCAGGTAGATGTTTATGTTTCAAAGCTCTTTGCCGAAGAGAAGGGCCCTGTCGTCAAAAGATGGTGTGCAAAGAAACAGCATACTCCAGTCATCTTCAGCTGTCTACCAGCACTACCTGACAAACTCCTGTCCAACATTCCTGCATTATTCCTCCATCCGATGAGCCTGAATTAAATACCCTGTCTGTGCTGCAAGAGAGGGGTATTGCCTGTTGTGAAAAATACCTACTCAAACCTTGGTGTGTATCTATGTTGTAGTAACTGGGTACCTTTCCTGACGTGAACAAGCACAGTCTGAAGGCGGGCGGCTGTGAATGTGATCCTGGCTGCTGTTTGCTGGGGGAAGGAGCCCTGTCCTGTGCAGCCCCAGGGCTGCAGCACACTGCAGTCGAGCCCCATGAGCTGCAGCTGGCCCAGATGGGTGCTACCCCACGTACCCAAGCCCATTCCTCTTCCAGCTTGGGACTACAGCCTGCTTCTGGAGGGTGGGCTCAACCCAACCTACACTCACACTTGGAAAGCCAAGGAAAGCCCAGCTGCAGCCTTAGTGGTGCATGCACAGAGCATCAAGAAACAGCTGAGAAGGAAAGCAGCCCTGCTTTTATGAATTGCATTTTGTCATGAAAACAAGCTCCATGACACCCAGTTTGGCTATTTCTATCTCTGCCAATGGCGCATTTCTTGGAATGGTGCATTTCTTGTGAAGCATGGGGTAAGGATTTCCTCACACTTCAGCAGCCATCAGCACTGCCTTCCAGGCTGACTAGAGACAGGGAGTTTGGCATCACCCAGCAGCTCAATGGCTGCATGGAGCAGAAAGGGTCATCGAGAGATAGGTTTTACCTTTTTGCAGAGATCTGTACACTGTTAACACTGAACTGCATCAAACTTAAGCCTGTGCAGATGCTATTACTTCCAGTGAATTATTTTCATATACATCACGTTTAAACGTAAATCTTAGAAGATTCAGGTGCCAACTTCCTTCTTCTCAAACCAAATCACCAAAGGACAGACGATACTGCTTAAAAACCTGCTTTCCAACTACATTAATGGATCCAACTACATCAACAGATCTCTACTGCTGCTCACACCCAAGAGCTAAGCATGCACAAAGTTCTCAGCTGGGTAATTTCTGTGTAATTTCGTAAAATAATGCTAAACAGATACCTGAAAAAAGTTGAAGTGATGCAAAGCACCTTTAACCAGGTCTTAATGTAACAAAACCCCTCTAACTGAAATAACGAAATCTATTCCCTCTTTATCAGTACTTAAACTATTTCTGAATGTTTCCTGACTTTGAATTATGATAGTATATGATGAAATATTTAAAACATATAAAAAAATTCCGTATTTTAGCCTCAGATGGCATGCCTAAGAAATGGAATTTGTTAGCCAATTAATTTTAAATTTACTACAGCAGAATTTCAATTACAGCTCCTCATTTTGTCTCCCCAGAAGCCGTGTGAAGCGCTCGCTGCACAGCCCAAGCACGTTCTGCTCCTCAAGTGGAGTATTACTTCTCGGTAAAATGGAGCTCCCTTATTCCTGGTGACACTCAGAGCACATCCAGAGCCAGGCTATTTACAGGTCAGAGGAGGAAAGCACGACTGCTCCCTCCCTGCCCCAGCAACTGCACGTGTAGCCGGTTGAAGCATTTACAGAACAAACCAAGCTCAAGAAAGAGAAGTCTCACGCCAGCACAAACAGAAAGGCAAATGCACACAACATCATCCTTTCTCCTCTCCCAGCTACTGGAAATGTGATTACAAATTTAAACTAAATTAAATAAACAGAGGCCTGGCTTGTTAGGCAGAAGCAAAATATACTGAATTGAAACAGATATCAAAGTGGTAAATCAATTTGTGTTTAAAAACTGGTGTAGTTTGAAAACAGGATCAGTGACAGCAAAACCTGCTTGCTTTGTCCATTTGTAAGCCGAGGTTCCCAAACCACAGCCAAATGCTGAACGGTACCCAGCAATGACAAAGGCAGCAGAACTGTTGGTTCCACCTGAATGTCTGTATTATTGGTGCTTCGTACCAAACCCCTAATTCCAAGCGCTCCTACCACAGATGGAAATCACCAAGATCTGCTGACGCCAGCGCCCATCACTGTGTCCCAGGTCCCTGGTTCTTTATTACAGCCTCTCTCCCATTTTCACCCTAAAACCATTTACAATCAGAGCAGAGGAAGAAGTGAAGCTGGCCCCTCTTGGAACTCTAGACCTCTCCAGGTGCCCTCTCAGCTGGACACACCCAGAATATGCCCGTGATGAGCCAAGAGGTCCATTCCATAAAACACACTTTTAAGCATGATACTTTCACCTATCCCAGTAAATCATTTCCTCTCATTCACACAGTGCTGTGTGAGAGCTGCTGCAGGGGGCTGGCACCAAACCACATGCTGTGCTCTCAGCACAGAGAGGTGGGGCAAAAGGACAGACATCAATGCCTTAAAATCATCACAGAATCATATGCATATGATGATAAGGGGACAAGGTTAAAAGCAGGAGCTTGGCAGCAGTTTGCAGTCCCTCTGTGCGGATCCGATTCCACCAGCTGGGTCAACTCGAAGAACAACATCACTCAGCCCACAAACAATCCTCACACCTCTGAACAAGCTTCTTGCCACCCTGCAGAGAGCCACTGGTGATGATATCCCTCAACACCACCAAGCCAATGTCAAAGGATGATCTTTACCTGGAGCAACTTGAGAATTCTGTGAGCAGGTAAATTGTTTTATCCAGTCTGTGTAAAGACTGTATTAACTGTCTGCTAATAAAGGAATGACACAGAGCTACAGATAGAAACCAAGGCAACCTTCCACATGAGGAACTCCTTTAAAACTGAAAATACCATGGAATTCTTATATATATATATATATATGTAATATATCTATGACAGGGATTTGCAAATAAGGGTTTTAATAAGTAATTTTTCAAGAAGGATGAAGTTGAGACTTTATATATAAATAAATATATAGAGTATCTAGTCTTAAATAATGTATTACTATCTGTACACGTTTATATGACCTCTGCTTCACAACAGATGAAAAATGTTAGTCTGATTCTGCAGAAGACGTTTACTTCTCTCACAAGTTCAAGTGATGTCACTGTAGTAGAAATACTAGGTAGTGTAATGGTCTCCTAACAGAATACTGCTCTTGGAATTTCTACAAAATTCCAAACGCTAATACCAAACCTGGATTTTATGGATTTCTGTAATCTGATGCAAATGCTCTGTGCAGCTGTAATATAAAACTTCAAAATCCTGGTAGAGTTGGTCCTGGCCCGCGACCCAGAGCTCTCTCACTGACAGCAGGGACCACAACTTGAGCACGTCCCACATCCAACAGCACTGACCTGGGGCTGCAGCCCAGCGCTCCCACAAAGCGCTGCTTGCAGGAGCAAAGGGGCAGGGTAAATCATGTGCATTGTGTCCCCCCATGACGCTGGGAGCAAGTACATTAAATTGGAAGTTACCAGGGAGAAAAATGCAGAAGACAAAGCTAATGAATACAAACCCCTCTTCTAGTTCTGCAATTTTGTCACAAATACTTGGAAAGAGAAAAACTGTTGCTGGGTTACAGCAAGCTGGGCTGGAGAGACACGTGTTTGTGTGGCTGGAGAGGAAGGAGGGAACCAAAGCAGCCCTCTGAAATGAGCCACAAAATGGTGAATGAGAAGGGGCTATACCTTCAAGCAAACCCTTTTTGTTCAAAAACTAGCAGAAACTGTTCAGAGTCCCATAGACAGCATGAGATCTGTCCCTTTCCCCACCAGACCTGCTGGCCTGATGCATTAGGTCTTCTCCACTCTTGGGCCACGCTGCTGGTTAAAGTGCCCTGCAGGCAGCAGCGAGAGTCTAGATGACACACTGCAAATACTACCAGCAACAGCAATTCCCTTCTTGACTTGCTTTGGTGACTGCCATACCAGCAGCTGTGGAGGAATGGGGTTAGCATGGAGGGACAAACAGAGCTGCTCACTTCCAGGGCCCTGCTCAGCATCTCACACCTCGCCTGTGGAGCTTAAGACACATCCCTTCTGCTACAATGCCCCTTTAACCAATTACACCATGGTTCTGCCTATAGATACCCATCTACTCCATTATTTCAAGATACCCCTTTGAACAGAAGAAGGTTTCTCAGGGCCTAAAAAACAAACAAGGAAGGAGCCCCCAGTGCCACCTCCACAACTTCCCAACCCACACAAGGCAAAGGTGTCCTGGGAAGAATCCCACCGCATAATGAAATTAAGCAGCTCTCTTACAAAAGGCAAATGGCCATCCACATAACAACAAACCAATTCTGTTGCCATTTAAGCTGCAAAGCCTTCAGAATGGGGTTTTGAAAGCATGACCCGTCAGTTCTAATTTTTAAAACTTATCCTTTCAGTCAAGACTAGAAAAAGGCCCATTCCAACTTTTATCTTCACTACAAAGTGCTGTTATCTTGGGCTGATGTCAGGAGCTCTCTCTCTCTTTCTGCTGACAAGCAGAGACGAGAGAGATAAGATTGGGAACGAATCTCACTTCTCTGAGTAAATAAATAATCAATACTCATCTAAATGTAAATGAGAAAGTATCCCCCTCTGATAACAGGGCTCTTATCAAACAGCCAATTTTCTGCAGACATTTGGCCTCAACCAAATCACCATCATTCAGCCCCAGCCTAATGGCTAAAAATCGTAACTAAATTGAACCGATCACCAGAGATCAACTAAGTTCAGCCATGGCTACTACAGGTTCAAATGTTTGGAATGCAATTTTTCCCCCATTAACTTTCAATAGCAATGAAGAATACCACGGTCAGGGGTTGAATCTGCACAATAAACAAACACCAACACTTAGAAAGAGAATGAGGCTTTAAACAAAACCCACCTCCATCTCCAAACTAGTTAATA